CTACTTAACTGCAATTTGGTTTTATGCCCACAATTCTAAACGTGTCAGTGTAAGGAGAATATAATTTTACTCTGAAGGGGTTACTGTAAAACAGAACTTTTAAATTCATACACAAAGCAGTCCAGGACAAAGTTTCTGTTCAGCTCAGCTCAAGCCCAAGCAGCACTCGATTGATTCAGGTGAAAATCTCAGACAATGCTCAAAGATGAACCACTGGGTCTTTTCTCAGCATGAGGACAATCCTCATTCATGCTTCAAATCGGGCATTTGAAGAAATATCCGGTACAGAGAACAAAAAGTGCTTCCAAAGTTCCCATTAGGATTGAGCTGTGCTCATCACCAGTTTTGTTTGCTTGTTTTAACATCCCAGAGCAGTTCCATCCATGCTGTGCTGCAGAACTCACCTGGAGCTGCCTTTACACCCCCAGTGCTCTGAGCTGGGCCAAAATCCTGGGGCCAAACTCCGTCCTGAGCTCACATTCCCTTTGTTCCCTGTCCCAACAGCCAGGGAATAAACTCATCCTTCTCTCCTTTTCTGCCTGCACAATGCCCATAGCAGGACCCCAGCTGGTCTGTGGGTTACAGAGGGTTAATGAATGAGGTTTGTTTGGAGAAGTATTCTCTGACCAAGGCTTGGCATGGAGACCAAGAAGAGAAGAAGGAGAAAAGAGGATCCCTTCACGGGGGGAAAAAAATCCCACAGCTGTGGAAAGTATTTTTAGAAAGGTCCTGGGTAGAATAGGGGTGGAAAGAATTTCTGCCAAGGATTGCTATGTGACCAATAAGAAAATGTAAACTGTGTAGAGGGTATAAAATACAGTGTGATGTTGTAATAAACCTTCTGAAATGTAGTGTGCCTTTTGTGAGTTGTACCTGCCCCTACAGCAACAAATGCCCAGCAATGCCTGGGACCTGCTGGGTGCCACCATCCCAGCTGGGATTACAGCAGTGCTTTTCCAAACTCACCTTTATGTGTGGACACACACATTTAGAGAGCTAGGGAATTACAGCTTGGGAATTCATTTTCAGGCCTGGATTTCTCCTCACTCTCAGCTCCATTCCCAGGCTGACAAGCTGACTACAGCTTCAGTTAGGGAGGAGTCTCCCAGGGTGATAACATGGTGACAAACAGAGTGGAATTCATAATAAACATTAACACCTGGTGTCTTTCCCGTGAGATACATCCTGAGGTGCTGTCCCAGGGATGTTTTTCCCAATTGTCCAATGAACTCCTGTCCTGTCCTAGCTGCACTAACACACTTTAAATCCGGGCTGTGCATACAATAAATTGGCCTTTTTTCCCCAAAGAGCTCCGTGTGTGTTGCTGTCCTTTCTCTCTCTGTGCAGTGCAGTGACCACACAGGGAATGCCCAGCAATGCCTGGGACCTGCTGGGATTATTCACAGCAATGCTTTTCCAAACCCACCTTCCTTTTGTCATCAAGGGACACAGCCTCCAGCTCATAGTCCTGCCTCCCGTGGAAGACGATGCTGAAGCGCCTCCTCTCAGCATCCTCGCAGCCTTTGACTTGGGAGAAAGGGAACTGCTTCTTAATGATCCCTTTCTCGATGTTAAAAATGGTCCTGGTGTTGAAATCAAGCTGCAATACAAAATCCTGCATCACTTCAGGCCATCTTGGTTGAAAGGCAAAGGTAACATCCTAATATTGCCACGTGAAGGTGTTTAGATAAAAGAACAGAATAAATATAATTTTAAATTACATTCCACCATCAAGATATTGCCCAATGTTTGTTTTAGTCACAAAAAACCCCGGATATTCCTTGTAAGCCGTGTTTCCACACATCTCTTTGGATGAATATGCATCCATTTATCATTCTGAAATATTATTTCTTTTTAAATTCTCCTTGTCTCACAAAACCCAGTGCAGAAACTTCCCCTTCAGCACAAATTAAGGCAGAACCACTCATCCAGTTCCTCACTCCTTCAGTCTCTGAAATGCAGGTGGTTAAAAAAGCAGTTCTAAGTTAAAAGTTAAAAACGTGCAGACCACAGCACGAAATGCCCACATTGTGGCCTGTCCCTGGGTTCTGTTTTTAGCAGGAAATCTCCAAAGCAGAACCTTTCTCATGAAAGAGAACCTTGCAGAACCTTTCTCATGATTTTCTCTGACTTTCGAAGGCTGCTGGTAATTAGAGAACTGAAATTAAACTAATCCAGATTCCCAGATTGAAAACTTCCACATCTACTACACACATCCCTCCATTTTTCCACTCTATGTCTAAACAAAAAATCTTTTCATTCAAAAAAATTGTGAATAATGCTGAAAAAATTATATTTTGTACTTTTGAGATGTAGTAAATAAAACCCACCCTGTAGCATGCATAATTTGGACTTGTTCATTATCAAATCTTGCCCAAACTACAAGAAGTTTTAGTGAAATCCAGGAAAAAAACATGAAACCTTTGTCCTTGACTTCATGAGAGCAGGAAACCACCATGAGGTGTTGTTGACAGAAGTTTCCTTTGATATATTTCTATACACTGCACTAAAAGTGAGAAGTTTTAAAGTTACCTGCAAAATTCGTTTCTGCCACCGGTAGTGTTTGTATTTGTAGATAATGAAGTTAAATTGGGACCCAGTTAATGAATCCTGTGGGTCCTGGGAAACAGAACAGAAATCAGCAACACATCCCACACTGGGATCACGTTTGGGATGTCTGGGATATGTGTTTGGGATAACCAAATCCAGCTGTTCTCTGTCTGTGAACAGAAACAACGCTGGAGCCCTGCAGGAGAATTCACCTGGAGAGAGATGGAAACATCCTCCTGACTTTTGTTAATCACATTCATGAAGATGGGGAGAGAGATTATTAACAAGGGCAGGGACAGGACAAGGGGGATTGGCTTCACACTGACAGACAGTGAGTTTGGATTAAATATGAGGAAGAAATTCTTTACTAGGAGGGTGGAAAAGAGAAGCCTTGCAGTGCCTGAAGGAGCTGCAGGAAAGATGGGGAGAGAAGATTTACAAAGGATGGAGTGCCAGGACACAGGGAATGGCTTCACACTGAAATTGAGGAGGTTTGGGTGGGATATTGGGCAGGAATTCCTCCATGTGAGGTGGGGAGGCCCTGGCACAGGGTGCCCCTGGGTCCCTGGCAATGTTCCAGGCTGGGATAGTGGGAGGTGCAGGGAGGTGGAACAAGATGAGCTTTAAGGTCCCTTCCAACCCAAACCATCCTGGGATTCTGCAATTCTGTGATTCTGTCCCACATTTATTAATCCAGGACTTGTTGCTACCCTTGGAATAACATCCCTAGTATGGATTTGAACTCCTTAATCCAGGTAATGCCATCAGTGTAGGCACAGCATTTCCATGGAACAGCCTTACAGGACACAGGCAGTGCCTGCTCGGGACCTGGGCTGTTTGGGATTCCCAAACTGGGGTTGTATCCTTGAAAGCAATCCAGACACACTCCTCATCTCAGCAGGGCTCTCCAGAATATATTACAAAATACATCAAAGGAATATATGACAAAATACATTACCTTTTCAGCACACACCTCCTTCTGTGCCAAATGCAGAGCTCCTTCGATGCTCACTTCTTTATTTTTCACCATGTTCATAATTTTGAGGATTTTTTCCTGGCTTAACTAGAAGGGGAAAAAAAGAAAAAAGTCAATCAGATGTTTTTAGAGATTGGTTTTTCATCTGGCTGTGGAGGATACAGAGTGCTCGTGACACAGCCACGGTGGCTGCCATAAAATTACAATTTCACTCATATTTGATGTTCTACTGACAACCTGCCCAGCAAATAAAATCTCCCTTTGAAGGCCAGTGAAAGTCCACAAGATATCAAACATACAGGGGCTTTTACAACTTCAGAAGATGTGGTGGTAATATCTGGAGATAGAACTGCCAGGGGGAACCTCTTTGAGTTAGAAACCCTAGCAAGAAGTGAAAACATCAATTTTGCATGGGAGCCTGTCTCATCCTGAGCATAAAGCCCTGCACACAGGACAACATGAAAGAAAAATCAGGAGCATTTGACATTTTCAGGGTGAGGAGGGGGCAAGCTGCTGTTGGTACAGGGAGGTGCAGCTGCCACGGGGGTTTAGTGAAGCACATGAGAAGCCAGAGGTGCATTTCCCCTTTTTCTGTCACCAAAACAGGAGCTGGAGCTGCCAATGAACTCTCAGAGCAATTTCTGTCACTGCTGACAGGCAGCAGGTGTGGCTGTGATGGCAAACAGGAATCCACGAAGAGAAAAGGCCAGGGCAGGACCAGGGACACCGAGCTGCAGCTGTCAGAGAGGGATTTGGGCTTTGGAGGGGAATAAAAAACCTTCCTTTGAGACAGACCCCTGTGTGCCAGCCATCCCCCAGCAGAGATGGGAGTCTGGAAGGAGCCTGGGGGTTTCACCTGCAGAGCTTGGCAAGTTGGGATTTTTTTATCCAGACTCCAAGATCCAGGTCGTTCCCTATGCCCTGAGATTGAGTTCTCCACCAGGAGAGATTCCAAGGGTTTCCAAACATTCTTTTCAAAGTCTCCAGGTGGACACCCAGGTGCAGAGCCCAGCAAAGGGTGTGCAGGAGCAGGGCAAGGGCAGCAGGGTTGGGAAGGACAGGAAGGTTGGGAAGGGAGCAGGAGGGTTGGGAAGGGGCAGAGAAGGAGCCAGGAGGGTTAGGATGGGGACAGGAAGGTTGGGAAGGGGACAGGAATGTTGGGAAGGGGCCTCCCCTGCAGTTGGAGCTGCAGATGTTGAGCACCTGCCCTGCTTTTCCTGCAGCCACCCCCTCCAGGGACAGAGCAGCTCCTGAGCTGAACACCGCAGCAATCATGCAGCACAAAGTCCTCTTGGAGCCACACAGGATCACTGAGGCTGGAAAAACCTTCCAGACCTTTGTGTCCAACCTGTGACTGATCCCCACCATGTCCAGTCCCTCCCTGGCCACCTCCACCCACCCAAGCCCACAGACACCAGGCACAGCTGCAGTGCCCCATAAAAACCACCAGTCCCACCACAGAGCTCCAGCAATCCCACAGAATTCCCCCCTTTCCCCAAGCCACGCTACACCCAGCACTCTTTATTTTATTTTACCAGATTTCTGCCAGCCCCTGGGACACACACAGACACACACCCTGAACAGCCTCCAAATAAAACCAGGAGCAAGAGAAATATTTTGTTTTTAAAGGTCTGGAATTTTCAGTGCTAATGTGAAGGTAAGTGATGGCCCAGGTGCCACTGCACACAGGAACGGGGGCAGTGAGGAAGGAGGGAAAGCTGCCTGAGAATTCATTCACAGAAGTTTCCTGCAGTGCTCACTGCTGGAATTTTAAATGGCCACATTTAAAATTCACACCTCACACACACTGGGTAGGATTAGATCTTAACAAGACAATTCCCCTCTGAACAAACCCTGTGTGAGTAAACAGGAATATGGATCTATTTGAACTGAAAAATACAGTTACCTTAAGGCAAAGCTCTGCCAGCTCCAAAGTGCAAGAGCCTATTTATTCAGGATAGCAGCTCCTGAGATGAAGTTGGAAACTATTTTTGCCTATTAGGCCTTCTGGAGAAAAGTTCAAAGAATTTTTGCAGCACGATGACAATTTTAATTTCATTTTTTTCAAGTTTAATATTGTAAGATATTTTCCTTTTTAAAAAAAATGCAGAAAGGAAGACATTCAACTCAATATTCAACTCCTCCTTCTCCTTACCTTCACCACATGAATTTCTGCCCAAGATGTGAAAGCAGCAGGGAACATTTCTTAATTTGCTTAATAATGGATGAGGGGGAAAATGTTCACAAAAGAGAAACAAATCATTGTGTGTATTTTAAGGTTTGTGAGGAAGTCAGACCCTGACAGAGAATCCATCCCCAAGGAGCCCACGAAAGGCACTGCTTGGGGCAGGTTGTTTTTAACAGCACCTCCTTGTTTTACACCTCCCTTAACTCTCTGCACATCTGGAATCTGGAGGGAAACATTTCCAAAGCCAAGAGAGGCAAAAAAGGCATTTTTCACCTCATGAGAACTGTCAGAATTATTTGTCAGAAGCCTGCCTGCCTCACTTGGGTTGTTGACAATCACATTTCATGGTATTTTCACTTGCAAACAAGACTTTGGTACCAGATCCTGACCTTTAGCACTTTGTCTCTCTGGGGCTTTTCTCTCAGCATGACACACTTTTTGTAATGTGTTTGTTTTAGTTATGTTTTTCTTAAAAAGAAACCAAATTTGTCATATTATCCACCAGAATGCCACTAAGCCATTCTGTGTTATATTGCCTAATAAAATGTGACTGGAACAACCAAACTGAGTGTTTTAAACACGACTGGAAAACAAAAGTTGGGAAAAAAAATTACATTCTTCTATTATAAAGCAGGCACATTAAGGAAATACACGAGATTGTGTTAATAATGCACTCACTCACCTGCCAGGTTAAAGCAGCTTGTTTAAAACAGATTAAATTTTCATCACCCTCCCCAAATTCAGCAGAGCCACACAAGAGATTTGAAAGAATTCACAATTGAAGGAAGAGCTGGGGCTCCAGAAGGAGAAGTGAGAAGTGAATTCTCTGGAATGAGAGGTGAGATTTTTGTATTTTTGGCCTGGTACCAAATGTGTTCAGTGGGGAGAGAGGAGATTTCTGCCTTGTTCTGGGGCAGCTGCCAACACTGCCCTGCCCATGACCCTGCCAGGCCTTCCTGCCTCTCCCCATGCACCTAAAAGGACCCATTAGAGGGTTTGCATGGAGTCCAGACACTGTAGAAATATTACAGATCTGGAATATGAAAGAGAAGATAGAAATATTAAATATCTGGACATATTAAGGATAGAAATATTAAATATATGGAAATATTAAGGGCAGAAATATTAAATATCTGGAAATATTAAAGATAGATATATTAAAGATCTAGAAATATTAAACATAGAAATATTAAAGATCTAGAAACATTAAAGATAGAAATATCAAAGATCTGGAAATATTAAGCATGGATATATTAAAGATCTAGAAATATTAAAGATAGAAATATCAAAGATCTGGGACAATCCCAGCTCTTCCAACACCCAGTATAGAGCAAGGGGTTAAAGCCCCAGTTAAAGCCACACCACCCAAGTGACTGTGGGGCAGGGCAGGGGCAGCACCCAGGACATGGGCAAGGATAAAACCAAAATGTGTTCCCCTGGCTGCCGTCCCTGCCTCTGCCCGTGCAGCCACCCCTGGGCTCCTCCAGGGGACAAGGCACCCCTGCACACCTGTTCTGCCTCTGGGAGCCCTCCCTGCACTGCCTGCTGAGCAATTTCAGCTAATTCTGCCTTTTGCTCAGCTTATTGCTCTCATTTGTTCTTATTTTTCTGACTGATGCCCACAGAGGCTGCCAAGAGCAGGGGCTGGACAGAGTTACAGGAATAAATTGGGATTTATTAAAAACCCCTCAAAGGATTCACCCTGGGCAGTGCAAGAGCCTGGCCATGGCTCTGCCCTGGATGGATCCCAGGTCAGGAGTTTCACACTTTTATCAGTTTGGGTCCATTCCCATCTTGGGTTCATTGTCCAATCCCAGCTCCAGGTTCTGCAGTCCCATCCTCCAGATTCTCTCCTCAATTCTCTCTTTGCACTTTTTGGGGCTGGAGCTGCAGCTGTCCTTGGTTGTGGGGCTGGAAAAGGATTGTTTGGTGTGCCTGAGCTGGGAGGAGAGCTTGGAACACTTTGTGTGGAGTTCAGAGTTAGATCCTAATGCAGTGCAGAATCTGGAAAATATGAGAGCTCAAACCTTAAGGCATCAGGAACCTGAATCCCACAACATGGCAGCAATCTGATCCAAAATACTCCTGGAATGTTTGCACGTGCATCCACGGAGCCACAGAGGAAATGTGGCTGCACAGCCCCACAGAATTGTCACAATCGTCACAAACTCTGGTGTGGCTGGGTAAAACATCACTCCAGGCTCACCTGGGAGGAGATCACGGCTCTGCCACCCCATGCAGGAATCCTGCTCCTGCACCAAGGAGCTCTGGATTCAGTTCTAGCCAAGCTTTTTTTTGCTGTTAAACATTCCTTACACTTGTCCTGATTAAACATTAAACATTTAACATCCTCAGCTGCTCCCTGCAGGGCAGCTCCTGGTGTGCAGGATCCAGAGGGAAACTGGGATTGTTCCAAATCCCCTCCACAGCAGCATCTTCTGGCACTTTATGCTCCAAGGAAAAGGGGCTCAGCCCAAGAGGAAAGGATCAGCCCAGGGCTAATTGCTGCTTTACAGAGAATTCATTAATTTTGGGGCATAAGTCTGACTGAACTTCACTCTGCCTGCATGCTGAATGTGTCATTTAAGTGATTTTAAAGACAGCAGACACAATCTGGATTGCCTCAAAGATCCAGCTTGGTGTTATCAACTTCCCTCTCCTAATTTATTCACTTTCTCCAGGTTTAAACTCGGCCCAAAATGTGCTGAGTGCCCCCAAACATTTCCAGGGGAGTGGTTTTCTCCTAGGACTGGGGTATCTGAAATTCACTTTCAATTTACATGAAATCTCAAACCAGGTGACTGATGTGGTATTTTTATGTGGCAATACCATCTTTTGTAGCCAGGCCTAGAGACAGACTAATATTATTTGTCAAACTGAGCTGCTATTCATCAAACAAAGTTATCCATCTGTAATAATATTTTGCATTATTTTTGCAGATCCGTATCTGGCTGAACAGTATCTGTCAACATTTATTCAAAGAAGAAGGGATTCATCAAACAGGAGCTTGATTTCCTTGAAAACGCTGGAAATTCTGCCACTTCCAGGAGGAGCTGGAGGAACTCAAGGATATATTATAGTAATTTATTCCTTACTGATATAAAGGTATGGAGTGATTGATTATAACAACATAAAAATCTCAAAGAACAGTTCTCAAAAATATGAATATAAACTGGTGCCCAGTGACGTGTCCATAGCACAGTTACAATACCAACAATTTTCACATTGAAAATATCACCATGTTGAGGAATCTCAAAGCCTTAACATTTCTTAAAATTCCCTCTGAAACAAAAAATGACACTTTCCAGGTCTCACATGAGGCAAACACTTCAGATTTTGCCTCAATCACGAGCATGGACCCTCCTGCTTTATCAGCCCTGAGAACTCGTCAGGAGATGACACTTGGAAAGTAATTTCACTGTGAAAATTCAGGATAAATTGAGTGGTGCTGCTTGCACGGGAGACTGACTCGGTTTTGTGCTATTCACTGTTTCATCAGTGATCTGCTGAAGGACTGGAGATTATGTTTATTAAATTTGGGGATTTTGATGGGCAGCTGGAATGAACTGCGAGGGGGATTCAAATTCCAAACAGCCTTGACAAATGAGAGCAGCAATAATCTATAATTCAGCAAGCAGAGGGGGGGGAAAAAAATCGGGATGTTCAGCAGGAGCTGCCAGCTTCACGAGCACTGGCTGAAGAACATATTTTTTTGCATAAAAAGCCCAGAAGTTCGAGCAGCTTGCAAAGTGACAGCAGCTCCCAACATGGTGCTGCTGCAATAAAAGGGAATTTCCCTCGGGGAGATCCCAGGCAGCAGCAAAACCCTGAAACAAGAGAGCTCAGCACTGACAAAGGGCTCTGCTGGAATAAGGGGAGAAGATTTCCATTCCTCCAGAAAAGAGCTGGATAATGAGAGTTATCAGCTCAGGATAATGAGAGTAACCAGAGCTTTGGAAAAATGGGATTTGCAAGGGAAGAACTGGGATTGCAGAGGCTGGGGCAGGCACAGGCTGAGGTTCATGGAGAGCTCTGCCAAAAGGGAAGGAGCAGGAGCAGCTCCCTGTGAGCTGGGAAAAGGAGAAACACCAGAGAAACCACAGCTAAAGAGGTTCTGCTGAAAGGGATATATATATCCCATATATATATATATCCTTTATATATATATATGGATAACACTGAGCCATCCAGGGAAAATTATGGAGTCTCCCACCAGTAAACATTGTTCAGAGGAGTTAAACAAATGCTTTGGGCCATACCTGACCCTGTTTTGCACTTTGATTCAGTCCAAGCTTGCAAAGAACTGAGAGTTCCACTGCTTTTCCAGGGGAAAGGGGCAGGCAGAGATTGAAAAATTTTGGAAAACCCCATCCAGCCTATGAGTTTTTGTTTCCAAGGCTTCTTTCTTTTTTTCCCCCCCTGGAAATCTCCTTCAGGCACCGTGTGCTGCTTTTTCAGAACCAGCCTCAGCATCACCACAGTCTATGGCCTGAATATTTTAAATTAGCCTTGATTTCAAAACAATGCTTAAGTGTGAACTTACCCAGCAATTTCTTCATGTGCTGAGGTAAAGTTTAAATGCTCTGCTACTAAATAGACAGAAATAAAATAAAGAAGGTGGCTCATACAGGAGCATTTCAGTTTGCTACTAAAATAATACCATTCTGTGCCTTTAGTGATGATAATTAAAATAATCCACAGTGATAAGGAGTATCAAGGATTATCATATTTGCTTATTAACATGAGAGTCAAACTAATTTTGTGAAGAAACAAAGATTGCTGGGCTATTTAACAGTGACATTAATTATTTTGGAGAAAAACATGCATCCTTCTGCTCACAATCTCATCTTGTGCCCTCATGTCTTGTAAAAGAAAAATTCATTCCCAACCAGAACTGGGCTGCTAAAATTATTAAATGCCGAACAAGAGATTTCATTCTGCTGGAGGTTTATTAAATCACATTAACACCTGCTAAGCTAAAGGTAAGAAGTGCAAAGAGAGAAAGCAGCACTGGCTTCATGCACATTTCACTGAGGATCCAGGGTCTCCATGAGTTTCATGTTAATTAGCTGGAACATTTAATGAACAAACCCTTCATTATGTTCTAATCAAAACAGGTCTGACTTGACTTTTCCTTTCCCCAGGACTCTGGGTTGTTAATAAACCATCCTAGTAAAATATTGAGGTCAATTCCTCCTTATCCATCTCCTAAACTCCGACAGATTTAGCAGGATGTGATCTTTGGCTGTATAAATGTTTTGTTGTGTTCTGAATTCTTGCCTACAAAAACACACCACGTTTTCCAGACAGGCAGGTTCCTCAGAACCAGCCACCTGGACATCTATTTAAGTTGGGTCTTAAAGTCAGAAAATATTAAAATAAATATTAAAGTCAGAAAATAATTTCTGTTAAAAAAAAAGGCTTGGGAATATTCATTGTGCTCCCACTTTCAGGAATTTGGGCAATATTGGGAATGAAACAGGAGCTCCAAAGGGCTCAGGAGCAGGAAATTTAACTGAGCTTTGTGTGGGTGATGAGGAGGACACAGCTCAGGATGTGCTTCACCCCTGTCCCCCAGAGCTGCTGCCAAGGCTGGGTGCACATTCATGAATACAAATATCAGAAAATATGGAACCATTTGGCCTCATTTCAATAGAATTGATCCCTTGGTAAGTATACAGTGAAAATCCACTCTAAGCTACCTCAGAAAAGATCTGGGAAATAAAAAAAAAAAAAAATAGGAGAAAAAATCAATCACCTAAGAGAGGTGGCCTTTAAGAAAAAGTCTGATGAAAACTGTAGGGGAAATCCATGGGGATAAAGTACTTTAAAGCAGTTGATTAAAGTAAAGCAGGGTGGAAAAGCAAAAGGTCTGACCTTCCACCATGATCTTCTCAGCTCTCAGAAGAAAAGCCCCAGGAAGACATAAAGTCAGCTTTTAAAAGGAGGTCACAAGAAGTTTAAAACTCGTTTTTCTCAGGCACAGTTTTGCTTGGTGGGTATTTTGGTGCTCATACAGGCTGGGCTCTGTGCGTGTGCTCTGCTGCAGGTTTGGGGGGTGAAAATCAGTGAAAAGTGGCACCACCTGGCTGTGGTTTCCTGTTTGCTGGCTCATGCAAAGCCCTCTCTGCTAGCAAACATTTGGTTGCTCCCCCATCTGTGCTTCATCCTCCCCAGCAGTGCAAGAGGGAGGATGAGAGATTGAGGAGCTGTGTGTGTGTGCCAAGCCAAAAACCCCCGAGCCATGGGCAGCAGGGACAAGAAAACACTTCCAGGGCTGGGGTTGTGCCCTTCCACCCCCTCTGGTATCATCTCCGAAGAGATCTCAGCATCTCCTCACAGCCCCCCTGCATCTCCTCAGAGCATCTCAGCATCTCTTGACAGCCCCCCTGCATCTCCTCACAGCCCCCTGCATCTCCTCACAGCACTGCCAGGTGGGAGCTGCAGTTTTATTACATTTCAAATGGAGCAACTGATGTGTGTTAAGCTCAAGAATTCACTCTTTGGGTCACCTGGTCCTGCTCCAAACCCTTCTCAGGCCAAGGGGGCAGGTGCTGGGTGAGGTAACCACAGGCAGCCTCTGTCCTTTTCCCTCTGTGACAAACCGAAGAGCCATAAATAAATTTTCCTCTGGGATTTTCCAGAGCCTGGCCTAGCAAATCTCTCACCCTTGAGGAGTAAGAGGAGCCAAGCAGGGCTGGATCCTCCCCAGCCCTCACTCTTTGCCAGCCAGGAGAGCTCAGACCCTGCACAGACACAGTCCTTCCTTTCCCTGATTTCTCTTTCCCCTAATTGCTCTTTTCCCCAATTGCTCTTTTGCCCCTGCCAATCCCATCAGCTGTCCCAGTCAGAGAGGAGCTTCCCCCTACTCAACTCTCCAGGTTCCAGACTCCCAAATGTGCAAACATTGGAACAAGCAGAATGCTCCCAGTCTGTCCCAGGCACTCAGACAAACCCCCAGTGCTGCAAGCTGATGTACATCCAATCCTGGCACATCCATCACCTCCGATTCCAGCAGGATTATCAAAAGACTGCTTTTGCCTGTAATATAAAACTCTTTTTCTCCCCTCCAATTACCTTATGGAAATTTTTAGCACAGATAATGGAAAGTGTTAATAAATCCTCTCTAGGATGGCAAGAGAAAGACTGATTTTCTCTCCTTGTGTCAGGAAAACTTCGCACGTTTCAACTTTCTCAAGAATAAAGCACAGAAAAATATTGTCTCCTACACACCTTGTGCAAACACTCTCTGATCTATTAGCCCAGGCTGAGCTCATATCACATAATAGTCCATTACATCAAAACCTACAGCAAATTCCTCACCAATAAAGCACAAAGTCATTCCCAGTTTCTGATAAAACATCTCCAGCTACACCAAGCAGCATTTCCACACCAGCCATAACAATTTCTGCCTTTACCTGTGAAAAAGCATCTGCTGTTCTTGTATTATCCATGTCTGGGGAAATTCTATTTGTTTCATCAGTATCCTACAGGGTGGCAAGCAGCAGTTTATTCATGAATCACACCTGCTTCTCCACAGCGTGCTGCTCCTTCTCTCTCTGCCTCTCTCTCTTATGAAATCTTGCAGCCAATGGCTTTTATTAAGTGTTACTTCCTTTTATGCTGAGAACTGAAAGAAACAATAATGATGCTTTGCTTCCTTATGGCAGCTCTGTGGAAAGACACAAAAAAATGGAGAAGTTGTTTGCTTTCCCTGAACTGATATTTATGTTCCAGTGACTTCCTGAAATCACCGAGCCCTGAATACTGAAATTATGATTTATTACTATTTATTAGGATTTATTACATTGCAGCTGTCTGAACGCCCAACATGTGCTAGTTCCCAAATAAATTCCATGCTAAATGTAAGGAAGTTTGCCTGAGGAGCTACAAACACAGTTCTCAATGTTCCCAGCAGTGTTTTTATGCACAGTAGCAATTTGAACACATCTCCAAACTGCAGCAGGAATATCTGCATAATGGATGGGAGCACCAAGGCACCTGCAGCTTAATGCACAAGATTCCTCTAAAGATAAACAGCATTTTCAACTTTTTCTTTGCTGTCTGTACTGGAGGAGACAATTGGCATTTGGAGAGGGAATTACCCTCTGAAAAGCATTTCTGAAATCCAACAGCTCTGACACAAAAAATTGTTCAGCAGCTGCAGGGAAAACACAACTTGGATTCCCCACCTTTACATGGTGACTCCTGCAACATCACAAACCCTTGTCAGAACCAATGTGGAGAATGAAAGTTCTGAAGAGACACAGCTGGAAGGTGAACTCTTCACATTTTGAAACTTTTTCTCCCCTAGGCAGAGACAGAGGGGAAAATCAGAAGCTCTGAAATATCACCTGCAAAGCAGAGTCTTTAAGAAGCAACAGGAATTGAAAACGTTTGGGGTTGATGACGGGTCTCCTTCCTCTGCTGCTCTAAAAGCAGCTTTTGAATAGAAACAGGACAAGGAAGTGGAGATGGGGGCAGAGCAGGTGCATCACTGAGCCCAGGGTGGCACAAATCCCACCCATCAGAGCTCTGGAGCAAGAAGTGGGAGAAAAAGGATTAGCAATGAGCACTCCCAGATCACTCCAGGCGCTGGAAAATAAATGGAAGGTCAATATATGCTGATATAAACAGGGTTTAATCATTTGAACTGATTAAAATAAGTCTTTGATGGAGTGTTAGCTTAACACAGCCAATAATGTAAAAGGGCCTGACTAAATCCAAGTCTTCTAAAGAAATATTTAATAAAAGATTGTCTTTCAATGCCCTCAATCCTGACTCTATGTCCACCGTGACAGATGGAAATTTTTCACTAAACTAAAAAAGGGATCCATGGGAAACACATTTCTTTGACAGCTATCTGAAGCCATTTGGTTAAAATAAAATAGCAACTAATTCACTCAGAATCACATTTCTAGTGCTGGCCTGTTCCCTCGTAGAATCCTCAGCCCTTGAGGAACGATTTTAAATTAAAGAGTCCCGAGGAACTTCTTTGGAACAGGATTATAGCAGCACAGGGCATTTCGGAAGGGGAAATGGCAGGATTGTCCCACAAAGGCTCTGCACAGATGGGAGAGGGGCTTTTCCCCTCTGCTGCACGTTCTGCAGGGCCACAAAATCTGGGAGAAAGCAGTTAATCACAATGGAGCTCAATTGCTGCTCTTGGAGCAAACATTTTCAATTAATCTGAAGCCGTTAATTACACCTCCCTTTAATAAAGGCTCTGGTGTCATTTCCTTCTCTTTGCTCTCGGTGAATCGATTCCAACAGATGCCAGAACCACGAGCTGCAGCAAACACGGGGGAAAATTCCCTGCTGGAATTCCCAGCCTCCGGTGGGGATGGGAATTCTGGGGGAAAGGGCTTGGAATCAACACGGAACAAGAACTCTGAGTGCATTGTCTGAACAATGCACCAGGGGAATGGTTTGGAGCAGCAATGCAAAATTTGCTGTACAAAACCATCAGCTCTGCTCAGCCTGGCCTGGGACACTCCCCACAGCTTCTCTGGCACCCTGTGCTCACAGGGAGGAATCTTTTTCCAATATCCCATCAAACCCTAGCCTCTGGCAGTTTGAAGCCATTCTCTGTGTCCTGTCCCTTGGAAATCCCTTGGAAATCCTCTCTCTCCATCTTCCAAACCAGGCTCTGGTTGGGAACTGCTCAGGAGTGCTGCCCTGCTGAGAGGATTTGGAGCCAGATTTTGGATGGATGTGCACAGGGGCTGCTCAGCCCTTCACAGCTTGTGGTGCTGCTGGTCAAGATCCTGTTCTCCTCCAGATCCCAATGTTCCCATTCTCTGAAGAAATCCCATAAAATCACAGAATTCTTGGGGGGGTTGGAAGGAATTTAAAGCTCCTCTCATTCCATGCCATGGGCAGGGACATCTCCCACTGTCCCAGGCTGCTCCAAGCCCCGTCCTTGGGCACTTCCAGGGATCCAGGGGCAGCCACAGCTTCTCTGGGAATGTGTGCCAGGGCATCCCCACCCTCCCAGAGAAAAATCCCATCCCAACATCCCACCTAAACCTCCTCTGTGGCAGTGTGAAGCCATTCCCTGTGTCCTGTCCCTTCCATCCCTTGGAAATCCTCTCTCTCCATCTTCCTGCAGCTCCTTCAGGCACTGGGAGCCCACACTGAGCTCCCAAAGCTTCTCCTCTCCAGGCTGAACAATCCCAATTCTCTCCTTAAACTTCTTTTTTTTTGGGGGGGGGGCTAAAAAGACAGGATTCTCTCAGATTTGCTCACAGAGATCCTGAACACCTTTTCCCAAACTTCCTTCCAGCCACGAGGTGTGAGCATCCATTCCACCCTCCTGGTTTCTGTTCGATCTCCCAGCCCTCCCAATGACTTCACAGGCCAGAAACCAAATTCCCTGCCTGCTCTCTGAAATTCTAAACCCCAAAGGGTTTTCCAATATCCACGTTTTATGTTTTTTGTGGAAGTTAAAGAAAAAAAAAAAACCTAAACCTATGACCAGTATGTTCAGTCAGCCTAAATATTTGTTTAATGAGAAAAAGTGTCTTTTTAATTTCATTCAAGAATTTTCCTAAATTTTTTTATGCCTAGGAAAAGAACATCATTAAATAAGTTATTCCAGGTTAAAAAATGAGAGCTGAATGAAAAGATTCTTTAAATTAATAAATAGGTAAATACAGCATGAACTTCATAGACACATTTTTGCCTCTCATTCAAGCATGACTGTTCCAGCAGGGCTGGAATGCTCTCACAAAGTATTTCAGAGTTGAAAAACAAAGCCTTTCCTTGAAAACCTGAAATTACTGCCTAAACCTGTTTTATAAAAGGGCTCTTTCTTTTTTTTCCTTTTTTTTCTATTTTTTTTTTTTTTTCCTGTGGAAATGGTGCTGAAATCAGAGGAAATCAGAGATCCTCGTGGCTTCATGGGGATTTGACCTCAGCATTCTTCTTCATTTCACACCATGGAGATTCCAACAAGATCTGAGCAAAATCCAACCAGACACGTTAGAAACAAACTCTGTTCCAGGAGGTTTTGCTTTTCCTGTTTCCTCAGTGCTGATCTAGCACAGAAACTGATGGCATTGCAAATTCCAGCAATTTCCATTCGGCCTAATTTTGATTCTGGTTTTAAGCAAGGAAAACATTGATGCACAAAAGTTCGTGGAAGATGCATTAAATGAAAGGGGGAGAAAAGAGAGGGGGAAGTATGAGAACAGAAGATGAGTAATTTAAAATTAAAATTTCTGTGAAACTAAATCCAGGTCGAGGGTGACATCTAGTGATGCTCAGCACAAATTCTGCCCATTTTTGCAGCACCCTCACTCATGAAGAAAATTTAAATTTTCACCAGATATGCCACAAAAGAAATATTTCCCCATAAAATGTGAGTGTAAATTTTTTGGGGGTAATATGAGTTAATTTTTTAATTAATTCAGTATTTTGAATGCATAATGGGAGAATCCATAAAAGGAAAGAAAATAAAGGCAGGAACTTGGAGGTAGAGAAAATACATCTGCTCATTACAATGAAGAAGTTGATACACGAGCTCTGATTGATGGAAGTGTCATTTTTTGGCTTCTTTTCTTATTCTTCATTTTTTTGTACAATACATCTGCAAAGCACAGAGGCAGCTTGATACATCAATAAAGCAAATCAGGAATTAGCATGGAGCTATTAGTCATTCCCTTGATTGATAATGTATGAACTGCTCGGCTGCTGAATTTTGAACAATAAAAATGTTTCCAGCAGCTCTCTGCCTTTGACAGTGGTTCATGGTCAGCATCAAGGAAAGGCACAGCCCACACGTTTCCAAAAATAACAATTCTTCATCTACCTGAGCAATTTCCTTTGAGCTCCTCACTGTGTGCAACAAACAGCAATCAAGGAAATCATAGAATCACAGAGTGGCCTGGGTTGAAAAACAAATTTAAAGTTCATCTCATTCCATCCCCTGCCATAGGACACCTCCCACCACCCCAGGCTGCTCCAAGCCCTGCCCAGCCTGGCTTTGAACAATTCCAGGAAAAGCCCAAGCACCAATTCAGAATTTAATTAGTTTTCCAACTGCTTAAAGCTCATTTCATGGAGGAGCCTTCCCCTCTGAATCTCCCTGGTGATCTCACCTTGCTCATTCTTGTGCTGCACCTCAAAGCCAAGAAGTCAAACCCACATTACTGCAGCTCCCAGAGCAAGGGACAGCCCCACAGATCTGCTCCTCTGTGGCACAAGGTGGCACTGAAACTGCCTGAAACATTCAGAAACTGCCTGAATTTCAGCCCATAAAAAGTGAGCCATAAGGCAAAGACTTTGAGGAGTTTGTGGGTTTAAATGAGAGGAGTCAGAAACCCTTGAACTGTGCTCAGGGAATGGATCCTGGGAAAGGCTGGGCACAGCAGGGGCAAGCAGCAAGGGCTGAGAGGTTTGAAACAGGAACTGGAATTGGCTGTGGAATCAGAGAGAGAGCAAAAACAATCCTGAGGGAACCTGGATCATCTTCTGAAAGCTGGGAAACAGCTGAGCCCTTTAATAAAGTTCAGGATCCACAGTCCAGGATGGTCTTTTCCTCCTGGAATGAGCTCCAGGACCAAGGGATGCCCCTTCTCCTGCAACCTCCTTTGGATACATCAATCATTTCATCATTAAAAACAGATATTCTGATTTTGGCATACCAATTATTAAAATATTTTTAAAAGACAATAAAATATTTAAAAATATGACAGGAAATTACAGCTGCCTCCTCATCTTCTCCTTGTTTGTCTGGTCTTGACAAAGCACAGCCTGGGACAGC